GAAGCTTGTATGCTTTTGAAACGTCAGGACAGTAAAACTATGGTTCCCGAGATCGCCTTTTCTTCTCAATTATGTCCGGGGACGCGCATCTTCGCTTCTATTAGCAATATTTACGGGCGCGAAGCGCTTGAGTCTGCACGACGTTGGGAAATATTTACCCTTCGTGTGTCTTCTAAGTACGCGCAAATACAATTCCTCCACAGATGCCTTGACAATCATGTGCTTCCGAAGAGCCTGTCGTACAGGCCACCGGTGAACACAAGTCTGGCCAAACGGTGGGTGGCTGAACATGGCAGACGAATGATTCGGGCGCTTCTACAAGATTGCCATCTTCGACTGCGTAAATACAACAGGGTTTTGAGCCAGGCGGTTACAAAGTGCGTCGAACTCATCGGTGATGACGGAGTCGCGCAGTTGCAAGAAGTGATTAATAAACGGGCCCGGAACCTGCGAGCAACAAGAGATGCCGAGCTGACGGTCAAGCTCCAAAGCATAAGCAAATCATCTCAAGAGGAGAACGAAGTCCTGGTGCACAATATGTCCTCTAAGCAGCTGACTCCTGCACAAATGAAAGTGCTGAGTCATGAGGCTTGCTTCAACACCACAGACGCCGATCCAGTTAGTCTCGTGGCCACGGTAGAGTCGATTCTCAAACAAACCGGGGAATCCGACGAAACAAAGCATCTCATTCTACAGCAGGTAGCCTCCTTGGCGATGTCACACAAACCGCGTGCAACTATTACCAAGGCCGAGCAGAGCGCTCTCAAGACACTGAGGGCTGACACCAGCATCGTGATTCTACCAGCCGACAAAGGGCGTTCCACAGTTGTGATGGATAAGGCGGACTACATTCAGAAGGCCAATGCCCTACTGGAGGACCGAGAGGCGTACCTACCATGTAACGATGAACCGATGAGAAGGCTGGTGACGCAACTGGACAAGACACTCGCCGACATGCAAACGAGCAAGGCAATAAGTAAATCGGTACGACTGGCCATTAAGCCAGTAGACGCGGCCGCACCAAGGTTCTACGGATTACCAAAGGTACACAAAGCCGGGGTCCCCCTCCGGCCAATCGTATCATTGCGCGGCGCACCTACATTCAACTTGGCCAAATGGCTGTTCTGAAACCTGAGGTCTCTCACCTCGGACGCGGGCACGACGGTCTGTTCAGCGACTCAGTTCCTGGAGCGGATCAAAGGGATGAGACTTACCGAAGACGAGGTCATGGTGTCATTCGACGTCACCTCTCTTTTCACCTCGATCCTGCAAGACCTGGCAATCGAAACGGTCAGTGAGCTGCTCGAGAGTCAGTACGGCGAGACGGACGTAACCGTAAAAAGGAGACATCTCGTCCAATTGCTGAGATTCTGCCTGAAGACGTACTTTACCTTTGAAGGCACGACCTACGAGCAGGTCAAGGGGACGCCAATGGGATCGCCTCTCTCGGGCTTCATCGCAGAGGCAGTTCTCCAAAAAGTAGAAACCCTCGTTTTCTCAACCTATAAGCCGAAATTTTGGGCTCGATATGTCGATGGTACCTTCGTTATCATTAAGCGGCAAATGGTCAAGGAATTCCATGATGTCCTGAACTCTGTTTTCCCTGACATCCAGTTCACAATGGAGGCGGAAGTCAACAATCAACTCCCGTTCCTGGACGTTCTCGTCCATCGAAATCCCAATGGGCACCTTAAAACGACGGTATATAGGAAGGCCACTAATACGCGCCAAATCCTGAGCTTCCACAGTAAGCACCCGTTAGGCCACAAACGCAGTTGTGTGCGAACACTCTACAGAAGGGCAGAAACACACTGCAGCGAGCCGGACGACAGAAGGTCAGAACTACGCTACCTCCAGCGCCTCTTCATGGCCAACGGGTATCCTCGCAACTTCATCGAACGCGGTCGACAGGCCGGACCGAGCCGACGTTTGGTGACAGAACGACCAACAATATGGCGGGCGCTTCCATACATCGACGGCGTTTCTGAGGCCGTCTCGCGTCTCTTAAGACCGCTGGGGATCGGCATCGCCCACCGACCGGAGTCAACAATTCGACATCTGGTCATGAGACCTAAGGCCCCTCTGCCACTAGGCGAAACCACGAACGTCATCTACCGGATCCGGTGTAACTCCTGCGAAGTCAACTACATTGGGGAAACCNGCAAACGGCTACAGACCCGTGTTGGAGAACACATGAGGGCAGTACGGCGAATGGACCCTTTGTCTCTGGTGGCCGAACACTGCGCCGATGCCGGACACACGTTCGCCTTTCAGCATGCCGAAATTCTGGGCCGGGGAAACGATCGCATAGCCAGGGAAACAATCGAGGCTTGGCACACGGGGACAACCTCCATCAACCGCTGTGTGACTCTTCCCGCTGCCTATCAAGCCCTTCGAGCGCAGCTCAGTAAACAAATGAGCAGACGTGCACCCAGGCTAAACATGAATCCAGACATGAGCGAGCCCATGGCGGATACACACCCAGCCACCCCTCAACCGGGGTCCGACGAAGGCGCAGTCCTCACCACAGCCGGTCCATCTACTAGTCCGGCGGACGAGAAAGCGGACAGTCGTTGCGGCGTAAACAAGATTGCCAGGCTTGGACGACAGCTACGGTCAATGAAGGTACGAACGACGACCACCAACGTCTCAACGCCGGCTTCCGATGTAGATTGAGTACATTCCGTCACCCTCCCTCCCTCCCCCCCGCCCGCCACAGTTCACGTGTGCATGCGGCTGATGACCACTAATTCTGATCCACCACCCCCTCATCCGGCGAAAAGACGCTCTAGGACTCCCCTCCCCGCCCCATCCCCCCTGCCGCCCTGACTTCGTATGTAAGAAAACCCGTTTTGACATGACTGTTACCCACCCATAAATACTGTGAGGCGCGATACCACACTCACCTCCGACGATGGAAGCTTGTATGCTTTTGAAACGTCAGGACAGTAAAACTATGGTTCCCGAGATCGCCTTTTCTTCTCAATGTATGTATATGTACAGTGCGTGACCGATGTCATGAAATGTTGGCCAAAATTCTGAAATGCACTTCCGATTAGGAAGGATTACGTAAGTGGGGTTGTTATACTGATTATCATGCAGCATAACCCTGTAACATTTCGGACTCGACAGGATGTCGCTTTTTGAGTGCAGTTCTTTTTGACCTCCTTCATAAACCACACTTGGCAAAAAATGACTACTTATGTAGCATGCATTTTTCCTATTGATTTTCAATGGTCTTATAAATTCAAATGTATTTTATAGAAGACATGCACAAAATATGCTTTCTCTTGCTCATTTAGAAGGAAATCGCATTATATTCATATTTTGTACCCAAAGAAAGTTTTTATTTAGGTTTTAAAATGTTTTCCGCTGCCCGAATAATTTTCAGCCCGACCTGCCATTGCATTAGCGTTTAGAAATTTCATTCTACAAGGTGTATGCTTTCCGCGTAAGGAAAATCATATATCCCTCTATGCCGTTAAGAAGATACCACATAGAGTTCATGAAATTTTGCAGTGGATACGGACTGTGTTGTGCCTTTCGTGAGGAGCATAAGTAAACGGACATGTGCGGTATTGCATGCATGGACATCGCACGGTCTTAAAAATCTCATAATTAGAAACTTTTTTAAAACCTAAATATACACTTCCTTCGGGCATAAAATATGGAGAAAATGTAATTTCCTGCCAAATGAGCAAAGGAAGCATATATTTGTGCATTTTTTAAAATATAAAATACGTTTGAATTTATAAGACCATCGAAAATCAATAGGAAAAATGCATGCTACTTAAGTAGTCATTTTTTACCGAATGTGATTTGTGTAGGCGGTTAAAAAAGAAGTGCATTCAGAAGCCGACATCCTGGCGAGTCCGAAATGGTGTATGGTTATGCTGCATGATAATCAGTATAACAACCCCACTTACGTAATCCTTCCTAATCGGAAATGCATTTCAGAATTTTGGCCAACATTTCATGAGATCGGTCACGCACTGTATATGTGTCAGCAAACCTTTGTGCTAATGGCGGTTGTTCTTCAAGTTAGTCTTTGTGTACGTCTATGGTCTTCCACTCTTGCTCGTTTCCCTTATAAAGGTTAACTCACTTATTTTGTAGTTTTGATCAGTGGGCTGATTGTCTTGAATAGGGCCGTCTGCCGGTGGTACATCGTTTCCAGAGAAGCCTAGGAAGCATTGGATGAGGTAGAGTTGGAGGGCGGAATTCACTACTATCAGTATCTTTATCGCAAGGTAGGACATCAGAAGGCAGGTGCCCATGCGTTTACTCATCACACAGATGCCGCAGCTTTCGTACATTTTGTTAACCAATTGCGTTCTTGGACCCTGAGATGAAAGAAAAGAATGAATGAGAAAGTGATCTAGTCATCGGAGAGAGAAAGAAGAAGCTACTAAAAGCTCCGATATGTTTATATTCTTCTCGCCCAGAATTATGACAGCTTTTCAAGCCAGAATCATTCCTGCAACATTAACTGTTTGGTGTCATGTAGTGTTTCACTACAACTTCAAAGCAAGCGCAAGGCAGAATCTAGCCTAATCAACCCCACAAGCCTATTAATGAGTGATTCATAAGTTCGTTTAACAATACTGCATGGACCCCGTGTAAATTTTTTCAAACCCAAATTTTTCTTACCTATTTGGGTTATAGGCTATTGACTTCAGCCGAATAACTTCTTTACGTTTTCAGTTGAGAATTTAGCAGCATTTAGCCATGAACACGTAAAGATTCCTCAGCATTCTTTCAACAGAGGTGTCTCGTGAATGCCCACACACGTGCTTCGCAATTACTAGGAGCTGCCTGATCCAACTGGAAAAGCCCAGTTCGGCTGTGGGTCCCTCAGTGTCTTCCATGTGGTTTCTCAATCAGCTGCATTTGGCATACGGCAAGTTATAATTTTGATTAGAAAAAGCAAACGAACTCGGGAAAAGTTGCCGGAACAGGACTGCAGGTCCGGGCCACAATCGATAAGAAGCTGTATCAGTAGCGTTTAATGTAAACTTTTTGTAAGATCCTTTTCTGTTCCTCAGAATCAAATGGATGGCATAATTTTCGGACCGCTCATCTTGCTCGAGAGACACGGAATTTGAGCTGGCGCGCCTTTTGAGTTCGGGTTCAAATTCCATTTATGTTACTATTCAAGCGGTTCGCACTTCGCCTAATTTATAATTCGGCCAAAGCAATAGCACTGATTCGCTCTTTTTTCACTACAAAATCAGATGGGTAATGCTGTTGGTCCGATTTTTCGGCAGCCCGATGATATTTATATCGACTTTTGAAGTGTCCAGGTATCTAAATCTTCCATTGCATACATTAGTCCCAGTCCTTGAGAATTTAATTTTAAAAAATTTGACGCGCGCATAACAGATAAGCGAAAATAGCATCATTCACAGCAACGTATTGCGGATGATTTGGTTTGCTTTGCCTTCATGCGGCAAGTGTAATTCTGTTTCAATTTTGGCCATCAGTCTTTTTGACTGAATTGTGATGTTTTATTTCTCAATGATATTGTATTAGACTACTCAAAATGGTCGGCATGATATGGAGTCACTGCTAAAGTCATAGAAGGTTTACGATAGAGTCTGAAGTTGAAGTGAAACTGCGTAGAGATGGGAGCTTGAGGAACATCGAAGCTGGTACTTTAATTCCCAAATTTTGGTTAAGCATCCAAACAGACAAAGTTGCTTGGTATGGAATATAACCACAGCTCATTTATCACGACAGCTAGTTGACTTTTGGCCAAATATCACCATTGTCAGGAATAGGGGCAACCTAAGTAGCACGTATTCATTCAATGTTTTTCCCTACCTATAGTAAACTAGTGATACTTTGTAAAATGGATTTTTTTTTGAATTTCTTCTACTTGTTTTTCCTCAAATTGTTCAACCTCGAGGCAAGACCTCCTCCGATTCACAAGAGATTTTAGGATGCTCGTGTGAAATCTAGTATTTGGGGTGTGGTAATGCTGTTTATAAGACATACGGTACAATCCGCTGGGATTTTTCCTCATGAGAGGTGGAGTGGTAAAAAATATATTATGGAGGACTTAATGAGCATGTGCTCTAGGAAACTAATAAACCCAGGAGAATGTTGCCGGTGTTTAAAAAGATATAACTATTTATGAGCTTTTGAAAACTGAAGTACATAATGCGTTGGGGGAAAATGTGAAAAGGACGGTTTGCTGTGGGTTAGGCGTACGAAATTGGTTTTTTGAATTACCACAAAGAATCAATAAAATATGCTCAATAAATAAACAGTCAGCTTTTTTCAGCGTGCGATTCCAACAAGTATCTAGACAGTACTCAGCCAGAGTTCGGCATCATGGTATTGAAAAAGTTATCTGGAATTCTATCACGTCAGTCAGTATTATAACCTTCCTTGAATGATAATTTGTATTTGAAAACAGCTTTAAGATTTAGGTTCAAGTTTTATTAATTTCGACACACAATATGAGAAAGTGAAGCCCATCTTTCGACCACTGGCTGGTGTTGTGATGAAGCTGCTTATATGGATATCGCTAAGTATAGCACAAAAAATAGACGCGAACCCACACTACCGGAGATCTGAGTTGCATAGCCCGTTAAAGGCAAATGCAACCGTTGGCAGGTTCTTCGTTTCAAATAAGTTTGAAGGAAGCGAATTCGTAACTGTGTTATTTACAAAAAACTGTGATAACGGCCCTGGAATTGGGGGCTTCAACACTGGAAATATATCGCACTAGCCTACAATTAAATAGCTGAACTGTTTTCACCAGCTATTCTGGGGATTTTTTTTAAGCAACAGCCACACGTCTTTCGTCAGCCACTGGTCACTCTGCGATTTTTCTGGGACATTAAATTTTTCGATACCACAAATACGGCTCTGGCAGGATAAACATAAGAAGTGGGTTTTATCTCTGTCGGATACTGCGGACATTCCGCGGAGCTTACGATCAGAATCACAGAAGTGGACAGAAACACTTGAATGTATTTGAACAATTAGTCTACCAACATTACACACCGTGGTGTTCAAATGGCAACTTTCGGCATCGGAATCATTACATTTTTCACCGAGTTCATTTTCCTAAATTCAACGCATTCCATCAGATCCCGCATACTGACTTTTGAAAGGGAGCTACACACAACCGGGCGACCTTTGTGTTTTATACCATCTGTCCACTCAGGGTTGCGTTAGTGGGGTTAAAACACTGCGACAGGCATCCCGCCCCGGGCGACTGCTCCAGTTTTATAAATGCATTTTTCACAGCTTCTTTCTGCATTTCTGCGGACCTGTGGTCAGAGAGATCCGAGTAGAATCCACAGATGATGAATTGCCAGTTGTTATTTAGCGTAAATTTTGTGACAGACAGTTTTGCATAGTCTAAGTCTACACGTATTGGTCTTCTTTCTCAACTAACTTAGATGCTTAATTTAGTGTTTTGGACAAGACAAATAGCGAGAAGGGATGGATTTGGGTAGATTTTGCAAAAAGTCGTATCATATCTGATATTTTCAGTGCAACTCCTAACGGTTTAAACTAAGAGCCCTTGTAAGCACAGGGATTAAGTTTAAATATGTATAATGAGAGGAAACAAAAGAAGACTTTACCCGTGAGATTCAAGCATGCTAAAACGTTCACAAAGGGGGGCGATGACACTTTAAGTCTCCAGGAGTTCACATTTTCGTTTTCCTCCTCTATGCTATATGACGAGTAAGTGGTGGATGCCGATGAAATGAGTCTGTTCAGAATGACCGATGGAATTGCATATTTTTGTGTGAATTGCGTTTAGTAACGTTTTTTGTAGATAGTATATCGACTTTGAACTGCACAGAGCGACATAAATACTATGGTTGCGAGGGGGTGAAGTGCAAAGGTATACCGTGATTACAGGACGAAAACTGTCATTTTCGCTTGGCCTGGGAGCTGAAGGCCCAGATTCGCACTGGCCCTCGCTTGCTGACTGTCAGTCACTTATTGGGAAGCCTTGCAGATAAAGAGGGGGCAGTAGGTTAGCCATTTTCCACCTTTTTATGCCGCCCGTTAGTGTTGTAATTATTGAAACCCTGCCCCGTTGCAACGCTACACCTATGACGCATGCTTACACGCACGTACCGGCGACAGTCTTTCGTCTGACTTTTTGGGACCCAGAGTGGTGCTCTCATCACGTCAGTCCATTCCCTGAAACCGAGACGTTCTATGTGGTTTCTGGCCAAGTACAGCTACCCAACACCGACCAATCAGCTTCAAGACCGACGCAGACATGCCCTCGCCCAAGGCTCTCTGACGCCTGCCTCACAGTCATTCGAGACGCCTGCTCTCACGGCGTCGGACGTGTGTCTTCGTCTTACTGCCAAACTTCCCCAACCTATTCTCCATTCTAAGGCTAAAGCGAACGTTCGCATTCCGTCCTGCAGATCGTCGCAAATCGTCGAGCGTCATCTGTGATTGAATTTATCAATCCCTGGCAGCAGGCGACAGAGTGAAACTATGGTCTAGCCGGTAGAGCGATAAATTTTAGCAACCAGTGGTAGCTCCGTCCTGAGAGCACCAACACCTCGTCTATTTTCCTTAATGTGACGCATTCCTTCTGTCCCGCACAGTATTAGAAAAGACTTTTGGGCAAGATGTGGTTATGTAGCCCCATCTTGTGGACACGATACTGTTGGGGTTGGAGTTAGGGTTATGGTTAGTGTTAGGGGTTATGATTTGGGTTAGGGGTAAGAGTTGGAGGTTAGGGTTAGGGCTTAGGGTCAGGGGTTAGGGCAACTATTTCTCAAACACTCAAAGTAGAACCGCACATTCCCAATAGCTTTTATTTTGCATACAACTACTTGACCTCGTCGCTTGTGCGTTCCCCGGCCCCACCCGCAAAAACCCATATTATAACCAGTCCCGTATTACAGGTGGCTGGGGTTTGTTTACTTCAGGTGGAGCTACCAAGCCACATCTGACCTCTTTTGAATTTGTGGGGTGCCAACAATGATCAAACACCCCCTTGCCAGCTGACTTGCGCCGCGTGCGATTCGTCTCCCCCCCCCCCGGCTTGTCCACACAGTGGTGCCGATCGATATTGTCGCCTTTAAGGGTTGGTAGCAGGGAGGCGGTGCTCAGACTCGCGCGCACGTACGCATTTCGCTCCGGGGCTGACAACGGAATAATCGTTGCCACTGCTTTCTGAGTCAATTTCTATGTCAGACTTACACTTACACATATAATACTTCTTATCAAAGCCTACTACATTAAAAAGAAACCATCGAAACCTTCGCTTTTGTAGGGAACCAATTGGTAAGACATCGTTCACTGCATAAAATGGTAGAGAAATAAAACAAAAGTTCATCCGATGACAAGCTACTCCGCGTACCCGCATGATACGAAGAGGGGAGTGACCAGACTGGAGGCCAACTGTGATTGGCCTAGTTAATGCATAGGTCTACTGACTGTGATCCAACCTCAGCAATGTCTGTCCGATAGGCCAAATAGGACGTCGCGCAACTTCCATGTTTATATCGTTTTAGGGCTGAACACTACTGAATCGCGATCGCTCTTCGAGAAAAGAATCCACGCAGGTAGGGGGGGGGGGGGGGGGGGGAAGTCGGTGGACATACCCTTCGATCACAACGCTGTTCCTCGATCATGTCCTCCAGAAAATCAGCCACGCGTGTCACCTTGTTTTGACGCGTTTGTCGATCGTCTGCAGAAGCTTGCCGCGCCGACGCCAGCAGAGTGAAGATATCGCCACCGGCCCGAGCTGTGCAGACTGTCTGCCAAATTATGTGCGGTAGGTAGAAGAGGATGCACTGAAGACCCAACACAAAGGGCACCCATTGGTAGTAAGCTGGACGTCAAGGGAGGGAGAGAGAGTGTAGTAAAAAATATGCTTACTTGCCAGCAAAAGTACTTTTCTAGTGATGACTCCATTACGATCGAAAACCGACAGGGCAACGGGCTCGTGGCCCGGTGGGTAGAGGCGTGGACTTCTAAACCAACAGGTCGCGAGTTCGAGGCTCGGGTGTTCCACACTTCGGGCTTGGGTATGGCTGGCTGACGACGGCTAATAAGCCAGAAATGGCCATTCCAGTCTCCCTTGTCTTTGTCGGTTATACCATTCTACCTATATATCATGCGCCGCTGTGCGGTTGCTGGTTGGGCTCGAGAGAGAGCCCTTAAGGCACAACGGAACGAGTGAGTTCCGTATGAACGATCGGTGAGCGCCCCCTACCACTGAATTAGGAGATGTTAGATACGTAATATGCAAGGGATGCTTAACCGACGTGATTGCACAACTGAGTACACTCTCTCTGTTTTGCCTTAAAGCACCATTGAGGGTCCCCACAATGCGGTCGCGGAAGACCGAAATTCTCATTTCTGACTGGCTTACAAGTCAGTCTCCTTGTCTTTACTTGTAGTCTTTCTAAGACTTAACAATAAGTTACCGTTGCATAATCATCTGTTCAGATTGTTGCCAGCTGAATAAATACATCAAAGCTATATGAAAAGTAGGTTGGATACCAGTGTCGCAACACTCCGTTACTGATGCTAGTATTATTGCAGTTAGTTACCCATACTGTAAGCGTTGGTAGAGTAGCATTGGCAGCCGTGGTGGCGGTGGTAGTAGTAGTACTAATAGTAGGATTATTAGTAGTATTCGCCGTATCAGTGGTGGTAGACGGGGGAAAAAGTTTTCTTCAGTGTTGCGACACTGTATTCCCGCCAGTGGTAGTAGTATTAGTAGTAACAGCGGTAGTAGTGGTAGTAGTAGCAGTAGTAGTGGTGGTGGTAGTAGTAGTAGTATTAGTGGTAGTAGTAGTAGTAGTCCGCCCGTAAGACAGGCTGGTGGGGGAATAGACAATTCTAAGTGTTGCGGCACTGTATTCCCGCCGAAAAGTAATATCATAGCTTTTCCCTACCAGAATTACAACATCATCTTTATATATGGTCAGGCTGGTTCTCGAAAGTTAGCCCTCGACTGACAAACTCAACAATGCTATAGATCTTCATCGGGTTTACTAGACACTACGCGCAAGGCTTGGGTCATTTCGACAGGGCCAATAGGAGAGCCGGACACGCGGAGCAGAGAGCCGACGCTCACAGAAAAGAGGAAGAGGGGGCGGCCGGAGAAGACGTAACTAACATAAAACACTGCCCTACCGAAGCGCTCGCGAGGCTGAAAGCAGCTCCTGGGAACACTACTGACTGACCAGTCAGTCGACTGACGTGTAGGGGGGCGGCAAAAGACGCGCTGAAATGGCCACAAGTACGCCGGCCGCAAAGGGGACGAAGATCACGGGAACCCATTGACGGTCAATCTCAGGGAGGTCAAAGCCAGTCAGCAGAAAACAGGCAGGTCAAAGGTAGTGCGTCAAGCACGGCTATAATACGAGGACGGCGGCTAGGCTGCGTTATTAAAGACTAGAAGGAACAGCAGCCGCACTACCGTAACGTTGAAAACCCGCAAGTTTCCGAAAAGTCAGTACAAATGTAATTTGGTTCAAAACTTCATCTTCTCCCCTTCATTTTCTTCGGGAAATGATAAACGCACTAGTTGGCAATCACGGTGTGCCTCATCCTGTTCTGATTGGCTCCCGCCTCCTCAACTTCTGCCTGAGAATTCCGCACACGAAATCCAGCTCGATATGCCGGTGGACGCACCATTCGTCTGAGTGCGTAGACTCGAGAAACTTGGTCTTTCTTGAGGTGGACGACACCGACAATGCGAGTTTTGTCCCACGCGGTGTGTCCGATGTCCAGAAAAGTCGTGTCAAATCGAATACTTGTTCGAATTATTCTCTCAAAATGACTGCCCTGTACGCCTATGCATGTGAAAATGAGTCAGAAAAAGAAACTAGGCATTTCCAGTCAAACGCCCACGGCAAATACATGGCGAACTCTCCCCTGCATTAAAAATGTGTCTGAACTCGTTAAAAAACACACGAGGAAACGCCAAGTACCAAGGACATACAAACTGACGACTACGTCCATGACTCAGTGGCAGAGCGTTTGGCCTACTGCTCGGTGATCGAAAAATTCGGGTTAGAATCCCAAGTTATCGAAACCCGAGTTGTTATGTCCGATTGATGACGGTTCGTAAACAAGAAACAGCCGTTTTGGTCCCTCATGTCTCTGTCGGTACTCCCTTTTGCATTTGCAGCATGTGACCCGATTCATGAAACTTGAAGATGAAATCTGAAATGATGATTTCTAGACACTTTAAACTTTGCGCCTTTTTTCACTAGGCAAATGTCGTTTTTTTTAAACAAAAATGTGTTTGAGCAATTTCATCAAACAAAGTGTTCATAAATTTGAGTAAAAATAGATATTGCGATATATCCTAACAGTCCTCAATCTAATACCTGTCGATTTTGTATTTTAGCCTGCTTTTGAGAGTAAATTAATTTGCTCCCGAGAGTTCTACCAAACGGAGCTTGCCGCACATGAAAATTGTCTTTTGCCTGTTGCTAGTCGTGGGAATCATGTTGTAAACCCACGCGTTAATTTTAGAGAATCAGACGTCTCACTGATTCATAAAAGTCAGATTAGCCAGCCTGAGCGATTTCGTGTCGTCAAGTTCAGTAACAACACACATAGGCAATCCTTCGTTTGAATAGGCTAATATTATTTTGCCGTTTAGAAAATTATATGGGTTGACATAGAAATGGGGTTCTTTAACTAACGCACTTGCGGATGAAATCTAATAGAGCGCGCGACGCAAAAAACCAAAGCGTAAATGGACAAATAAAACGTTAATTAGTTAAAACAAACAAACAACAAAGTATAGCATGCTAGAGAAGCATAGGAATATGGTGATCAGAGTCATAATGGGATAGCAAATTGCCCTTAAATAATGGAATTTCCAACTGACCATCGTAAATATCGACCGTTTGCCGTACGATTCACCAGTTATGTAAGTTAAATGATTAACACATCCTCTTCGACATATCGAAACAGATGACGTTTCTGGACGGACCACTGGAAACCAAAAGCCGTGAAAAATCTAAACTTTGGGCAAACTACGTGAAACTTTCGAAGCAAGTGACTATATACTAACTGTACTAACAATACCAACCAAGTATGCTTACCAACTAATTAAGTAACTAATCAACGAACTATCTAACTAAATAGCTAACTAACTAACAACCAACTACTCGACTAACCAACTATACTAGCTAACTACCTAACTGACAAGCCAACCAACTAACTAACCATGTTAACCCACTTACTAATTATACCAACTAACTAACTGACTACCTAACTGGCTAACTAACTAACTGACTATCTAACTAGCTAACTCACTGAACAAACTAGCGCTTAGTGATTACACTCTACAAGGTGCATGCGTTCCGCGTAAAGAAAATCCCATATTTTTCTATGTCATTAAAGAGATATCATACAGCGTCCATAAAATTTTGCAATGGATGCGGACCATGTTGTACATTTCATGAGGAGCAGTGGTAAACGGCCAGGTACGATGCTATGTGAATGGACATATCGCGGTCTTAAAAAGTCTCATAATTAGACACTTTTTTAAAACCTAATTATACTCCTTCCTTAAATATAAAATATAAAGAAGACGCAATTCTCTATTGAGTGACTAAGAGAAAGCATATTTTTGTTTGTCGTTTCTATAAAATATATTTGAATTTCCAAAACCATCGAAAATCAATGGGGAAAATGCATGCTAATTAAGTAGTCATTTTTACCAAGCACGCTTTCTACAGGAGATTGAAAAGAACTGCATTTTAAAGCCGACATCCTGCTGAGTCCAAAATGTTATAAGAGTATGCCTTAAGATAATCAGTATCACAACCGCGACCAAGTAATCCTTCCGAATCGAAAACGCATTTCAGAATTTCAGCCAAAATTTCATGAGATAGGTCACGCACTGTACACCTGTCGACGGAATGCAGTGTAAAATCATTTCTTGAAAAGATAACTTATTAAAGAAGGCTTTTTTATTGGTCGCAAGTCTATTTGTTGTTGGCTTTTGCTGTGGACGTCCATTTTTTCGACTATAAGATTTCATGTTTGGGTGAGTCTTCTCATATGATCCATGCGACCATCTACACGAAAAAGAACGCTCAAACGCTCGCTTCTTCAGTAAATGCCTTTAAGAAGTATATTATTTTGAAGACTTTAATAAACGCATAATACGGAATCTGTATTTATGGGAAATTAACTGAAAACACTGAAAATCATGAAGTGTTTAACTATATTTCAAGACCTATCTGAGACTCAACGTAATCTAGAACAAGGCAAGGGGCAAATTGATTTTACGGTGAAAAGTTCTCTTTATACACATAACATGGTATGTTTACGACCATACCTGCAAATTTTATTTAAATCTTTTATTCACCGACCGTCTTGGAAACACGCGACCTTATGAAATGCGGAATCAAGCAAAATCCTGTTCTCTTTAGTGGACCGCATCCAAATCAATGCATAAGCGAAAAAAACAAAATTTTCGCAGGAAGCCGGCTTTGAATTTATACTTCGTGGACCGTTGGCAAACCACCATAGCTGACATTACACTAATTTGTAAATATTTTAATGTAAACGTCGTTAAAGCACTTTTTAAAACGTTTTTACATTGAAGCTTTCATATTTACTTATTTTTTGAATGGGGAAACATCCTGTACATCTAAAACCGCAACTTGCCCAATTACAATCACGTTGTACGTTTTCGGAGTTTCCCGCTTTTCTGAATAAATTGGTGCTTGAAACGATGTAATATTACCTTCAATATTCCCTTTACGCTTTCGGACCCCTCGCAGTTATTATTTATAAAACTAGATATTGGATCCATGGACTGGTGCCAATTTGCGAGTGATTGGTATTGGTTTGTTAAATTCTGACACCTCTGATCAGTGAGGTCACTAACCATAGACGAGGCTGATGCAAATAATTATGCTATTTTCAAAAAACGGCATTTCTGTTTTTTTTTAAAAATCATGATCCCTTACTTTGTTTAAGTAAGTGCTCCAGAACAACGTTATAATGGAAGAAAGATATTGTTTCCGCATTGTCCGTAATTCTCAGGCCTATGGACATATAGAATAAGTAAGTGCTGATTGGCGCTCCATCAAGTAGACAATTCAGTACGGTAATTTGCTTGTTTGTGCAGTCTACTTTCAACCGATACGCAATATTGAAGAGTTGCGGGTATCATGATGATCCCTTCCGAAATATTTTAATTTTTGCGTGGTCATATTGACGCGTTGTGAAATGGATTCGGATTTAGAGAGAAAAGCAGGATTTTGTCGTTTGCATCCGAAAAGCATCAACATCTGAAACGTTGTGCTTGCGATGTTGTATTCATTCATTTGTTTGCGCGGACAAATATCATGAGCTTCTGGAAGTCGCAGTTACTGATTTATATGGAATTGCTGAATTTTTAGCATCCTACTATTCCAAAAACGCTATTTGAAACAAGCGTCATATGAATTTCAGTATTTTTGTTGTGCTTTCATTTAATAGAAGTTTGTTCACGATTGGCCGGGAGTTTCCGTCGGTGCATTTGGGTCAATCTTCCCTCTGCAACGAATTTGTCTTAAAATTTACATAGATCTTATGCGCCATGTCACACATTCTAGCCTGGACACGCGATACGCTGGACCACAAGACGTGCTCGTTATGGGTGCTATTGCCTCAAGTTCCCGACGATTGTGACGCAAAGTCTTCAATGACGCACCGAAAAGAAGAACAGGTGTGTGGTGTCGCACTTGCATGAAGTTGCATATAACGACCACTGACTGAAGCCGGGGACGGAGTGTGGAGACGCATAAATACGAAAAAGATCGGACAACGGATAATTTTAATTCCTAATTTTGTGTCCTGGTTAACCTGGCGACCACCAGTACTCCGGCTATCCTCCAACGTAGGCAGAACAACTGCCTCACGAGACCTTCAGTCGACTTTTTTTACTAATTGAAGCAGTAATGCACATCCTGATTCAGACCTCGTCATTTTACCAGTATCTGTTAACCCTTTCACTATGTAGAAAATTTCCTCGTTATATCCTAACTACTCGTCTTCCATACTTTTACTTTATTACTGTCCACCCATGCGATGAATTCCGACACTCACTCTGGTGAAAAGTGATCTTTCTTTCCTCTTCAAGACGTCGGAAGTCACATGAAACTTAGGAGAGATATCGGGATACCATCCACTGCCGAGGGGGCGAGTTCTGTCCCAGGGGACGCGGACACATTGAAAGTTACATGCCAGCTGCCCCGTAGCCTTGCGCAAGGTCGCACACGTGTTAGCGCGTGCATGTGCGCACCACCTGTTCTACGACTGTAGGGGCTATCCACGAACCGAATGTTTAGGTCGACCTTCACGCACGTCTGAGCTACTCTACCTTCAAATACCGGACTGATATTTTATTCAGCAGTCGTCTATGTTCTCTCGGCAGTCTTCTTGACACTGTCTTCCCGACACTGAATTTAGAAGTGCGCTTTCATGGTCGGTAGCACTTCAATGCAGAAATCCTACTGATGTAGTCATGGGCTACGTGGAAAACAAGTCAAGAATCACCGGTGTCCCTGCTTGCCTCTAGGGATTATCATAGAGCCGGTTTAGAGATCAGGGCGTGGAGGTGAAGCTTTACGGTCGATTAAGGACGCATACTGTTTGTAACGCAGTGTGATACCAATATCAGAAGTTCTTTTCATGCATTCCGCTGGACGCAGATCAAAGTAGTTTGCAAAGGCATGCTTTCTAGCGCTGATCCGATCGCCTCAGTTACTGACCTGATGATGATACCGGGCCCTGTGGGATGTGCTGGTTGATAATGCAACTGCATGGGGACAATGACTGCTGAGGGGTCTGGTCGTCGATCACAGAGAATGGGTCACAGCGGCTTGAATGTCATGGAGAATGGCGTTGACTAAAGCAGCGACAGCCAAAACGGCTACTTAAGAGAAAGATATCGTCGTTTTTAGCTCAAGGGCCAGGCACTGATGAAAAGGTACGAGTTACACTGACCAGCCTCATTGAATGTGGTCCTATAAAATTTCAAATTCGTGTGATGTAATCACCTAGAAAAGCAGAAAAATAGGCATTGCCATAGTCAAACACATTCCGAACGGTGCTAAAATGAAGTATCTCGACTTCCAGACCCCTGAATCACTCATAAGAATATCCCTATCAAAACAAAATCTGACCTCGGGGAATGTCTTTGCAATAAACGAAGGTTTGCTGTGACGTCCGATAACATCTGGGAAGGAGTGCTGGCTTTCTGCCCTCGTTTCCAAAAATGTATTTGAGTTTGCCGAAAAACATCTGAAAACATCAGATTCCCGTAGTGCCTAAACGTACGACTACTTTATGAACACTCTGGGGTGGCGTTTGGCTAGTATTGAACTATCCAAGATGTCTACAAAATCCCCTGTGGCACTTTTGATGCAGGCTACTGTGACAACAGCGAGGAGTCCGCGCTCACCCCTGTACATGAATACCATCTTTTCCAGGTGATCATTCCTACATTGAACACTTGACACATCATAAAAGAGGAGAGAACTCGCACTGTGGATGCCTATCCAATCTAGAAAGGTTGCTAATTACTGAAGGCACTGCATTCAGACGCATCAATATACGCATCGACATAGATGCCACATGCAAAATGCCCAAGGACAAGCGGGAACGGACGCAGCCACCCCCGGTGGGATGGAGGAATGCAGTAGGGGCGTATTTGGATCAGGACCCAGCCGAATACGGGCTTTTTCGTTAGGCAGGGTCAAACAGTTAATTGGTCCTTTAAATCGTCAGGTTTACTAGTTTGTAGTCATGACTCTGCTCGTGAGAGACGGAATGGTTACTTTCATAATGCATAACAAGGAAGACAAAGGCACAATCACTGGGACGGCAGATTTACTGGCCTTAGCTTTCGGACCCGAACTGGAGTTCATCATCAGAGACTGCTAGAATGCAGCAACGTGTGAACATTTATATCATCTCGCCGTGATGGGGGGGAGGACTACGTCCGTGGCTAGGTCTGGTTTGTGCTGCCTGACCCACAATGGTCCGCCGGCGTGGTGACGACGTTTGTACTTCGCTGCGATGTGAGCTGCGCCACCTGGCTGCGTGGGAGAAGTGCGTGCTAGCAGGCAGGCAAAACAATGTGTCTATTGATAAAGTTGTTGTCCGACACCGACGCCTCCAACAGTTCTCGCCCCGTCTTGTTACCGGATCGCGCCAATATCCGCGTGTTGGCGAAGTTGAACTCATGGCCTTCCTCCAGCGTGTGAGTGGCGACTTGAGATAGTGGGTCGCCTCTCCGGACTGCCCGTTTGTGCTCAAGTGTTCGTGAGCTGAGACGTCGTCCTGTTTGGCCTGTGTAGTGGCAAGGACAGTTATGACACGGGATTTGATAGACTACGTCCGACTGCTCACCTGCGTCCTGCCAATCCTTCCTTTTCATTATTCTGCTACGCAGGATGACCGCCGGATGATGAGCGATGCCCACGCCAAACTCTGACGCAACGCGTTCTGTGGCCCCGGACACATTCTTTATGTATGGCAGGGAATGCCAAATTGTTGGTGTCTCTCTTCCGTTACTCCGTCGTGGGTGCGTGCGTATGCAGCGACTGATAAAACTATTTGGGTAGCCGTTCCTTGTCAACTGAACCCTGAGATGCCGTAGTTCTTGCATCCTTCCCCCGGACTCGCTACGGGGCGCTTTTACCCGGTTGAAAAGCGCCCTCACACAACCCCGGTTTTGCACCGATGGGTGGTTGCTGTGATATTGAGGACCTGGGTTGTATTGGTCACCTCTCTGTACGCTGTAGCGCTAAGTTTACCATCAAATGTGCGCGTGACGAGCACGTCAAGGAAGGGTAATTTCTCGGCCTCCTCGTCTTCTCTTGTGAACTGAACGTCAGGGAATATGCTGTTAAGCAGGTGTCTAAGTATGTCTCTCCGTAATAAACCGATGCATGAAGTGATTCACCAGTCTTTCGATTACATGGCCATCTAGGCATAGGGTTGCCCATTAGCCTTTCTTTCTAAGGCGTTCGTAGGCACATCCGGAGTATGGGCCTGAAGGAGTTCTTAGGCGCAACGTCTCACTGCATCCAGCGAAATTGAGATGGAAAGAGAGATCCCATTGGATCACATACTTACCTCGTCATTTGCAACCTTGACTCCTTTAATTTGTCTGAAACTGTTTTGAATCTCCGGCAAAGGTCGTGGCAGTGTCGTTCACTGGTAGTTGGGTTTTTGGATTTCACTCAGAATCCCCACAAACAAGTGCATAACGATCCGTAATAACGCAAAAGTACGAACAATGGCAATGGAGACTAAGAGGATCATTTACTGGCTTATTGGCCGTCGTTATTAGTCCGTTATAGTGTTCCTCATATTTTTCAACCTGTTTATTCTGCTCTATTCATGATCAGTTCGCAAATGCCTGCAAGAGTCATAACTTCAGCTCTAAACGCACCAGGACAAGTGTGCTATGCGCTGCAATTAGACCAGTGAACAGCTTCACAAATTTATTACTTTCCCCTATTATAATCGAAAGACCAATGACGCTGTAGCCTGAATGTAAAGCACTGTCCTGACGGCCGATGAGGTCATATTTCGGTTCTTTGTTGAGGTTCTCCAAACTTGGGATCCAGTTATGTTTGGTTGACGACGGCTACTAGGTCACGAATGATTATCCTGGTCTTCGTTGTCTTTGTCTGCGCAAAATCCCCATATATATGTATATACGTAGAGGAGGCAGTGTCGGCAAAACTAAGAGAGACTGCAATGGCCATTTCTAGACGATTAGACGTCGTCAGTTAGCTGTACCCAGGGTCTGGATAATTTGGAATTCGAACCTGAGTTCTTTGGTCACCGAACGTTATATGTGAGCGCAAATAAAGGGCGATATAGGGGACCTCAATTGCATTTTTTATATTTTTGAAAACAGACAGGCTGTCATCATTGGATGCGATTATCATACCGCACCTCAGAGCATTTGCAGGAATTAATGGTTATGTTAAAAGCCGTTAGTAAGACAAGGTAATATACACACGTGAAGCTAATAATTTCAGAAATTGCCAACTGCATGATATGAAGTTAACCGTCCGGAACGTGGTTTTTTAGGACCAATGAACATTTGATTCAAAGACAAGCAACTTCTGCTACACAACCACCTATCTCCAATTCTACAGTCAATTAGTACTACTAGTAGTAGTACAATTTTACATGATAGACGGTCATACCGTACTCCCGGCATAGACACGAGCCAAATCTCCGGACATGTGTTCGTCGATGTTCCCCCTGTTTCGTGATGCAGCTGCGAGGGATGGGGCTCCTCAATGGGCTCCCAATTTTCTGTGTGCGATTTCTGGCAACATGAACTCCAGAGAATAGTTAAAGTACAGGACATGGAGCTATGTCGGCTTTTAGCTAGTACCAATGTCCGGAGTATGGTATAACCATCTGTACTATGTATAAGAATATTCTGGTCCCATACGTGGAAGTTGGAAATAACAAGCTAAGCTCTAGAGAAAATAAAGAATCTCTTAGGTATAGTGAGCCATCTAAGAATTTGTTGCTTTTATTTTCCTCAGAAATTAACTGCGAACTTGGAGTAAGTCAGTATATTCTCAGGTCTATAGTCTTAGGCCGAAATTTGATGTATGGATGTTTGGGCCGAAGTCCATCAGCCACATCGTGATAACTGCGTAATATTTATCAACTGCTGACAGGCAGCTAGTAGTATGTTTTAGCGTTGGAAGATACCATACTAACAGCACCGGTACTAGCTAAAGACCAGACACGCGTGTTTCGCCTAGATTATTCCGCTGTGTGGAACAGCTGCGAGGGGTTCGGCCCTTAAGTGAGTTCCCCAGCATTCCCCGTTTGCTTTCTAGTAGACTCTCCAGTTTAGAAATTGTTGCTTTTTCATTTCCTCAGAAACTAACCACTAACTTGGAATAGACCAGTTTATACAAAGAAATTTAACCAACCAAATTTCGATCTGCGCACATAGGCCTTAGTATATACTACTAGCTGCCTGTCGGCAGTTAATGAATATTACGCGATTATCCCGCTGTGGCTGATGGACTTCCGCCCCAACTATCCATACATCAGATTTCGGCCTGCGCCTATTGACCTTAGAATATGCTGAGTTACTCCAAGTTCGCAGCTAATCTCTGGAGAAACTAAAAAGCACAAAAATTGTAAACTAGAATACCTACCAGAAAGCACACGGGAATGCTGGGTGATCCACTGAAGAACCGAACCCCTCGCAGCTGTACGATGCAGCGACAGAATATCGGCGAAGCACGCGTGTCTGGGCTTTTAGCGAGCACTTGTGCTGCCAAAAAGGCATCCTATAACCTTTCTAACAAGGTTTGTCTATCAGAGGCAAGGAGAGACAAGGGAGAAGAAATCTCTTTTAAAATTCGTCATCGTCATCTTCAACCGATTATACTCCAGGAACCGCAGCGCAAGAGAATGGTTCATTGACGAACACTCACCCAACCTGTCTGGCGGATCCACTGCTTCCTTAAGACCCAGAACCGAGTAGTATCTGGTGAATTATGCACAAAAGTACATACTTAACAATATTTAAATAATCATACAGCCTACGGCGCATCCGTATATAGGTTTCTTACTCCCCGGGAAACTGCGGCTCGGTTTGTTGCTCTGCTCGCACCTTCAAAAAGACGACAGAACGAAACGACATGGGGCACTTATTATTAAAATTTCATAACCCATCTGTACAAAAGACAGACACCTTTTAAAAAGTATAATTGGTATGCTATCCCGTGAAACGTTGACTGAAATTCTCACACGTGTTTTCAATTTCACAACTTATTTTGTTAAGATTGTGACATCAGTTATTGTGCTGCACAACCTTAGAATATTTCAGTCACGTCAGGATGCCGACATTTAAATGGACTTCTCATCGGCCGCTTGCATAAACTGTATTCCGGAGAAATGACTGCTTAACCAGTATGATTTTTATCATTGATGTTTGATACCCTTATAAATGCAAGTATATTTTAGAAAAAACCTGCACAAAATATTCCTTAATTTACTCAGTTGATAAAAAATTACATACTATTTAAATTTTTTACTTACAGAAAGAGTACCTTTCGGTTTTGCAAAAATTTCTCAATCCCCCAATAATCTTGAACTCGACCTGCCGTTACACTTGCCTTCAGAGTTTCCAAACTACTAACTGTATACCTTTCATGCAAGGAAAATCAAACGATTCTATATACTATTATGAAGAGGAAATAAAAAGCTCATAAAATTTGTAATGGATGTAAATCGCGTTGTCTACCTTAAATGCAGCATTAACAAATATGCTGACAAGATGCTTTACGACTGGACATCGCACGATCTTTAAAAATCTCATTACTAGAACCTTTTTAAAACTGGAAAATACGCTTTGGCAGGGGGCGCTCACCTATCGTTTCTACGGAACTCACTCGTTCCATTGTGCCTTAAGGGCTCTTACCCGAGCCCAACCAGCAGCCGCACAGCGGCGCATGATATAGGCAGTACGTTATTACCGACAAAGACAAAGGAGTTTGGAATGGCCATTTCTGGCTTATTAGCCGTCGTCAGCCAGTCATAGCCAACCCCGAAGTGCGGAACACCCGAGGTTCGAACTCGCGACCTGTTAGTTAGAAGTCCACGCCTCTAACCACCGGGCCACATACTGCCTGTATCATGCGCCGCTGTGCGGCTGCTGGTTGGGCTCGAGAGAGAGCCCGTAAGGCACAATGGAAAAAGTGAGTTCCGTCGAAACGATCGGTGAGCGTCCCCTACCATTGCATATTCCCGATCGAAAACCGACAGGGCAACAGACTCGTGGTCCAGTGGTTGGAGGCGTGGAATTCTAACTAACAGGTCACGAGTTCAAGCCTCGGGTGTTCCACACTTCGAGGTTGGGTATGACTGGCTGACGACGGTTAATAAGCAAGAAATGACCATTCCAGTCTTCATTGTCTTTGTCGGCAATAACATACTCTTGCTTCAAGTGTAAAATTTGAAGATGTCTTAGCTTGTCACCAACTGAGTAAAAGAAAGAATATTTTGGACATGTCTTCTATAAAATTTACGTGAAATTATAGGGGCGCCGAAAATCACGGAGAAAAATCATGCTAGTTAAGTAGCCATTTTTTACGAAATATAGTTTACACAAACGGTCGGTAGGGAGCTCGTTTGGAAGTCGTCTTCCTGGTGTGACTGAGATATTTTGGAACTTGACCACATGGTAATTGGTATTACAACACCACTTAAGTAAACTTTTCGATTCGGAAGCGCATTTCAGAATTTCAACTAGCATTTCATGAGGTAACGTATCTCGATTAACAGCCGGTTTTGGAGGATGATCATCTCCATGAAGAAAGCATATATTTGCAGTGCAGGACTATAAGTGGTTGGCCATCTGACGATGACGTATCAGGAAATCCACGGGGTCGGGTGGAAATATTTTTTCGGAAGCCCCTTACTGAAGAAACAATGGATATTTACTGATAACACTATGGTGATGAAGTGAAGACAGGAATGGCTCTCAACTCCTGATTTTAACATTGTAGATCCAAGGGACTCCCGTTAAAACAGCCTCAAACTTACTAATGCGTCTGTGTTGGTCGTAGAGATTCCATTCAGCATCTGTTGATGGCAGCGGTTCGTTAGGTCGAAAGGGTATCGTTCCATGCACCCAGCAGAAGTTGGAGACATAGTCCTTGAAGGCTCCGCCAGACGGCTCAACAGGCGTGTAACAGGAGATAAAGTTGAAGACATACTGTTTTGCCGATATGATTAGACAGGAAAGGAGAAAGAGGAGGACTGTAAAGAGGTTCAGCCGATCTGCAAAGTCCTCCAGACAGAGGCGATGCCCCTCATTGAAGGACTGAAAGAGGCTGATAAATTCCTGGCCCACCATGCTGGACTGAAAGAGAACTACGCATCAAGACCTAGGAGCCGGCAGTTGCTGCTTCCCTGCCCTAAGTCACTCACTGATCATCTAGCACTGTCTTTCCCCCCCTCTTTTGAGTCGATGCGGGCTTGCCTCTGTGTGCGCGTGTGCCAGCGATTGGATTATAGAACTTTGTGTGTGTGTGTGTGTGTTTGTGTCACGGTGCTGACTGTCCTGGTGGCGTAATAAAGGTTGACAGGTCTTTCCACCGGTGGCTCTTCCCACCCGCTTTTACATGTGTGCAAGAATGTGCGAATGAGTGTGTTTGTCTTTCGTGTCCTCTGTGCCAGCGTGCTCGCGTGGGTGCGCAGAGGCTTTGTGTCCGAGTGAGCAGATAGAAAGTGTGTGAAAATCATCGCTTTTAGCGTTTGCGCTGTCACCATGGCTATCTACCAGTTGGGCTTTTGTTGTCACACAAGCGGATTTCTAATATGGTAAATTATTTTATGGACGAGAAAAGGCCTCCAGAAGTGGATACGAAAACGAATAAGAACCTACGCATTACTATTTTACTGGGAGAAGTGGTCAACTATGATGTTTTGTGTAACCTCAACACCGTCTTATGGGAACGGCCAAGTTTGAAGCCGGTAGGGTGCTCTGGCTTTTCAGAGAGCGGGTGCAAAGGAGGACCCAGTACCATTATGAACTTTGCTATTACATTACTAAAGGCATATTTGTACATTACGGGAATAACTAATATCAGCTGAGGTACTGATGTACCCGCCTTCAGCAAGTCTATCTGGGTAACGCTAGCGATTTCATTCCCCAAATCTTTCTGTCTTCATCCGCGGGAGCGAAAACCTCAACTTGTCAAAATGATCCCGAGTTTTCTTTATCGTCACCATTTAAGTGTCAGCGATCTTCCAAAGACGGATCAGAAATTTGTAACATATCCCTGCACTTTTGCAGTCGTTTTTGTCGTTTACTCAAATTTACGAAAGGGCAGGGCATTTTGCAAAAAAGCATGTAATAAAAACTTGAAAATTGAAGATAAACACACCTGCAAACCTCAAACTGGCTGGTGTGCTCAAAAATAAGTCTCCGTTGTCATGTAAACCCAGAGCACTGCGTCATATCACTCCGAAAATATTGATTAGCGTGGCGAATTTTTAAGACGCCGCAGAAAAAAATCCCATTCAAGCGGCGGACGAATGAAATTGGTCGTCCATGAATAAATTAAGTAAGATTTTAGGGGAGCAACCGTGAAATTTCGAGGCTCGTCTCAGATTTACAGAATTGAATCATGCAGAATGAAGCGAAAAACGTGCAGCAAACCTCTTCGAAAATCAGCAAAACGATCTGAAAAGTGTTAGTTTGTCGCAACAGGAGTTTCGCGTCTGGCCCCATTTTTTAAGCAAAAGTTCGAGTCCAGAGCTATCAGTCTCAGTGAAAAATTACATGATTACTCAGGGCAAACTATAAATAACAGGTGTTGTGCACTGAAACTTGTTTTGCATTATTTGCGTTACAAGTGCACTACCAAAATGTTCAGACATATGTTCCGCCGACTTTATGTGGCTACTTTACGAAATAGTGAGCGACTCAACAGCTTGCCTTATACGATTTTCGGCATAACTTCTGCTTTCATAGTGAACTGTATAAATTCGTATGAAAGTAAAGAGTAAAATTCGAGCCAAATTGTCGGAATCATACTTATCATTTCCGATCCCAGCTGTGTTGAAGCTCACTCGTTGAGCATAATTAAGAAGTTTGAAATGCAGAACTGTACAAGAGTTCGTTTGTCGTAAGTGATGGGGACGATCGCTGTCCCCGGAGACTTCGGATGGATTGTAGTGAGAGATAGTTTGGCAGCATTTGGTCCGCTTTTTAACAGTAGTTTTAGCCAAACAGTATAACAACGTTGTGATCACTAGTGATGGACGCAGGTGCGGTAGTTTACGCGCGCCATGCACTCAATTGTCCATCAGTCCACACGCGTCAGACTGGGACCTGTCGCTCGTGACTACTTGCATAAACTCCACAATAAGGGCTGCTATGGCAGTTCGACTTTTATTTACAGGTATGATGGAGTTATGTCTTCAGTAGAGAGCTATAACGCCTTGTAGTAACTTAAACTCGCACCCGCAGATGTGGGCCTGACTGCACTATTTCTCTCCTCTCTCTCTCTCTCTCACGTCACGTGACAGTGAAAAATCGGATTCAAACTCATTGGATATAACTTCGAACGAATTGTCTGATGCGACAAAGGGACCCCCTAAAGGCGTTCTACATGTGTGCTGGCCTCTACTAGCACAGGACTGGGCATAAACAGCTCAAAGTTCACATGGTTAATAATTGTTAAACCACGCACCGAGAAGCAGTAATTGCAATCTGATCATCCGTCCGGAGAAAGACCGGGCTAGGCATGGGAATATGGAGCCTCTGTATTACGAGGAGCCTTGCTCTAAATTTCGAGGAGATAGGATTAGGAGTTGGGTTAGGATCAGAAGGGCTAATTGTGGGATTAGGATTTGGGACATTGTAAGGGTTAATGCTAAGACGTGGGAATAGATAAAACCTGGAATTTAGCTCGAGGCCACCCACAGTACGAGGGGTCCGGGTTTTCGCGTCCTACCAACAACCGAGCTATGACGCACAGCATCATTCACGAAGGTGATTGCTGAAACTGCTCACAAGTCCCTGATGACCGGAGCTGTTTCTTACTTTAGGTACTTTCAGTTCAAAAAGAAACTTATTTCACATCTCTGTCCTTTGTGACGAAGTTGATCAGAGTTTTTTTTCCTCTGCGTGACAGAAAAGTATACTCTCGTGGAGACTTTACTGGATCGTCCATGCCACAAATAAAGTGAAATGGGCTGACGTCTATACAGAAAGCAATTTAAATACAACATAAGTACAGAAAAGGCGGTCGATGTAGTTATGTAGCCCTACCTGAAGTAAATAAACCCCAGCCACCTCTTATACGGGAGCGGTGGTAGTATGGCTTTTTACAGGTGGGGTCGATGAATGCACAGGCGACGAGGCCAAGTAGTTATATGCAAAAAACGCTGTTGGGAATGCGCGGTTGTACTTTTAATGGCAGAGAAGTAGTTGCACTAACCCCGAACCCTAACCTCTAACGATAACCGCTAATACTAGACCCTAACCCCTAATCTGAATCCCTAAATCTAACCCCTAACAGCTGCAAATAACACTGAAGTCTAATGAGGCATAGCAAGCTGATTAACTTCCACTTTCATCGTTATAACTGATCTGCAGTAGCAGATTCTCAACTTTGTGGCCAATCTTCGTCATCGAACAGGAGCGGGTTATATGGTTGGACATCTTGCCAAAAGGTAGATTAATGAAACTCGAAGGTCCCGCAGGTCAAATGTGATAGTCCGCTTTGAATTACAATAGCGAACCCGAAAACATTGAATCCGAGCAAAGCCCAATAGTTAGTCAGCATTCAGACGATCAAGGAGTGCTGACGGATCAAGTAAGACCTAAAGAGGCCAACTTTTATGAGTTTAGTTTCAAAATGCTAATAAGGAATTATCGAAGGATTTTTTGGGATTGGTTAACAGTTTAATTCGATGGATCGGATCGGAGTCTTCTCTGTAGGATCAGTGCCACAATGAGGTAGTAATCCAGACCCGACTGTCAAAGTTGAATTAAAGCCAGATAATGCTAACGGCCAAAACCGGCCTAACAGATTATCAGAGCAAAACCTTCTTTCGTCCGTCTTTTTAAATTTTCGCCAGTAACCATAATCAGTGGCAAAATGAGAGCCAGAAAAATAGGCGCAGGAGGCTACAGTATTTGTATACTGCTGTGTTGTGTTGCTGTTGGCCTGATTGCGAACTAGGGGTGTTTTGGTGATCGGTTGAAGAGCATTACTCGGAATATTTCTTAATTGTACAATAACTGCTTGAGCGGCTGCGTCCGTTCTACATGGAACGGTTGGTGGGGCCTGTTTGCCTATCTGTAGCTGTAATTCTCCAATGCCGATTCCCCAATCCAGTTCAAATGTAGTCTTGGGAAAGTGTCGGCAGGTACTAAGCAAGTTGAATTGAAGGTTCCAGCAAAGGCGATCAGTCATTGCGTTCCTGTGTATCAAGATATGAATGTTCTGCATATACTGGTATTCCTAAGTCAGACACTTAACGAACTGGCGAATGTAATAACCACGAATGAAGGCAGAAAGTTGAATTCCGGATGTAGGTATAAGTCAGTAAGAAGACTGTTGGGGTACCGGAGCAGAATGCACGAATATGAGCTGGCTGCGAGACGAGACGACGAATTATCACAAGTGGCAGGCCACACCTATAAAATGGGTCGTGGGTTTGACTTCAGAACCACCAATAAAATCGTCCACGCCAGAATCAAAACAGTTTGAGAATTGATTAAAGTCTAGGTCTCGGTGGGAACCCATTCAATTGACTTATCGAACTGGCGACGCCGTACGAAGCCCTGAACAGTCACTTCCAGTGCTGCATCATCGATCAATGATTGGCTTGCACTTCCTATAACTGTCACTCGTCCCGTTGTTGCTATTATCTCTGACGACAGACTCCTGTACGAGTTCGCAAGCTCAGAACAATAAACAGACTGTTCCGGTGCTCGACCAATCTGCTTTACTTAAATATGGTTCTACCTCACTCCGGCCTTTTAACTAAAAGGATACTTGTAACTTAGGCTCAGTTAGTTGAGAATGGACTTTTTGCCCCCAGACAATTGTGTGGGAAAGACTGAAGGCGTCCGACAATTGTAGATAAAGGAATTTATGTCTTCTGACATATGTATATATCTGTATAGATATATGAATAGTTGTTGCAGTGCGCATTCCGAGATAATATGATGAAGATAGAAGACAGAAGGCTCGTCGGAAAAAAATCGAGGTGTACTCGTGAATTTTCAAGCTGGTGACACCAACCCGTTGTCAAACGAAATAAAAGACCCTATACCCAAAGAGCAGGACAGCAATGTCAACTACCGCATTCCATGTGCTAACTGCTCTTGTGGAT